ACAAAAACAACACCAGAATCCCTTTAGAAAGCCTAACAAAGCAAAATTGAAAATGTTATGCGACATTCATGTACAATTGATGATTTACAGACAAAAAACAACACCAGAATCCCTTTAGAAAGCCTAACACAGCAAAATTGAAAATGTTGCAGGCGAGGTTTCATGGAGCCTGTTCATGGTCTATACTGGAAAAAATAGTTACCGTTTACGTCACCTATTCAAGAATCATTTCTGTATAGTTTCATCAAAAACTACCAGATGGTTAAAAGAAGATTTGATTTAAAGGTTTTCTCTATTTGCTTACTCAGTTAGCCATTTAATTCAGCACATCAGAACAATTTTAGCAACTTTAGTAAAGGACTACTCAATCATTTCTATAGAGCTTTATCAAAATCTGTTAGCTGGCTGAGGAAAAAATGTCATACAATACCTTTTTCGATTATAAGCTCTGACAGTCATCTTTTTCAGGAGACCTGTCTGAAGCATTTGAGAATTCTTTTAAAAAACGAGGATCATTCCCGTTAAGTTTAATTGAAATTTACCAAAAGCAAGGTTAACCAAATGGTTTTTGTAAGTCAATTTTGTGTTCCCTTGCTTTTACACGAGTGAGAGCCAGTTTCTATCGTAATATAAACATTAAACAAGCTAAAATTCATGAACAAGGAACAGAAAAACGATGAAAATGTCTCACAGATTAATAATTCATCTATAAATCTATTATTTATAATAATATTACAAAGTTTTGTGTCAAGGAACATTTTAATTATTCATTTTAAATGTTCCCATTTGTTCGGTCGATATAAATTAATTGAAAAGAAAAAGGAAAGTGTGATTCCGTAGTAATTGAAATCTGTAAATTACAATGTTTTTTTTTATGATAAGGTAATGATTGAATTTCCGTTTGCTGTGACTACAAAACACCATAGTCAAACGTCTGTCACATTTTATTACAAATCTAAATGTACATTTATTACAAATTATACCGTGGAAAAGAAGCGAAAGGACTACAGATAATATACGTGTAAGTTTTAATAGTAAATTGATAAAATCAATGGTACCGACTAAGAAACAAACAGGTACAGGATTGTAAAGAACATAGTAGTCCATTTTGAGGGCTTATATATGCGTTTCTCATCTGTTATAGATTGAAAATGAAACAAGGGTTGTCAAAACTATTGCTACATTATGCCTTAAACATACCCTTCAATCTTTAATTAAGAAGTGAAGTTTTTTTGTAAGATGAGAAGAAAAGAAGATCATCCATTGCATTCTTTCAGTAAATGTGTGACGACTGAAAAATCCGCACCAGTTATATATCATATGAAAAACTAGGTCACAGGAGCTAATAAAGAAAAACCTTGTTAACCCTCTAGTGGTCACTTTTTGACTAAAATGTCATTAAACTTTGTCAGGATGCTTGTCTAGTTAATTGCTTGGATAAGTTCGAACATGGGTCATCTCGGATGAAAAACTAGGTCACTAGCTAAAAATAGAGAAATCTTGTTAATACTCTTGTGGCTACTGTTTTGATCAAAATATCATATAAATTGGTCTGACAGTTTGTTTTGATGATTTCTAGGTCAAGTTCGAATATGGGTTACCTGAAGTCAAAAACTAGGTCACACCGCCAAAATATGAAAAAACCTTGTTAACACTTTAATGGTCACATTTTTTCCTCAATCCTCACCAAACTTGGTCAGGATGTTTGTCTAGGTAATTGCTCGGATGTGTTTGAACATGGGTCATTTCGGATGAAAAACTTTGTCATAGGAGCAAAAAAAATAGAAAAACTTTGTTAACAGCCAAGTGGCTACTATTTTTATCAAAATATCTTGGAAACTGGTCTGAAAGTTTCTTTTGATGATTTCTAGGTCAAGTTCGAATATGGGTACCCTGGGGTAAAAAACTAGGTCACACTGTTCAAATATGGATAATCCTTGTTAACATTCTAGTGGTCACGTTTTTGACTCACCTGTCATGAAACTTGGTCAGAATGCATGTCTAGGTAATTTTTCAGATGAGTTTGATGGGTCAGGTGAGCAATCTAGGGCCATCTTGGCCCTCTTGTCTTTTTTTAGCACTTGCGGCCATCTTGTAAAAGAGACCGTTTGGGCAATTTTATAAAACCCCACCCAAGAATTATTCCTGCATTCTTTCATCAAAATCTAACTAACAGTTAAATAAAAGATGTCGTTTTTCTATTTGAAGCTCAAGTGAAAATCTAGTTCAGCTGTCAAAGTATCGCCCATTATGCAGGTGCGATTATGTTGCGAGTGTTGTCATTGGCTGATGAAAAAACGCTATTCGTTGCGGCTATACGCCGTTCTAAACCGGACTCTTGTTATTAATAAGCCAATGAAGGTCTCAGTCCGGTACGGAATTAGACCCAACCCGATTTAGTCTAGAAGTAGTTCTTTAATTTTTGAAGCGGCCTAGTCTCTGGTTTTGATTGGTCATAATTAAAGTGTATTTATTGCATGTGTGTTGTTTTTGTGTGTTATAGGATTACTTTAAAAGTTGTTTTTCGTGTATTCTCCAGGAACTCATGTGTTGACGTAGGGATTGAAGATGTACTACCCATCAGCAGTCAGTAGTTTTTAAAGTGACGAATTTAAACAGAGTTACAACGGAATGAATATTTCTGAAAAAGGAGATGGCTAACATAATATATTTTTGTTCTCGTTTTACAAAAATAGTGTTGATGTTTAAGTTTAAGACAGTATATAATTAACCAAGAACAGTGGAATCGAGAATTAAGCCATTAACTATAGAACAAAGAGTACGAAAATTCACAAGGCCGAAACCTGAAACTGACAGTCACTAATAAAAGTTGTACATACGAACATCATTCAAAATGGAAGCCGATGATAGAAATAATCAAACAAACAAAAAATGTTAAAATAATTTGTACCAGAAGTTAGTGATTGTATCATTGGTGGTGGTGGGTGATTGATATTTAACGGATTACATAACAGCATACGTTTGCAAAAGTGTATAATTTTGCAAACCGAAGTTTTAGGAACGTGTGTACAAATGAACCACGATGGATTGTTTTCATAATATCTTGTCCATGTATCAAAGTGGGTCATTTTTTAAATGACCGATTCTTTTATGAAAGTACAACAGTCAAAGATAACACTGTACTGCGTTCTATTTATTTTATTTTTTTATGAATTTAGCAATTTTGGGTTATATTCCTTGTTATATTATGTATATAGTGGTTAAGAAAACAAATGACAGAAGCCCCAGTGGAATGAACAGTTCATATATTAATTCTGAAATAACTTTGACGGAATAGAAATATTTTATATAGTTTAAATGTGTGAATGCATTTTACGAACGCGTGTTGATAATGCGAGGCCACGACTTGTATCCCGTGTTTATATTATAAATTTATAAAATGTGGATAGATATTAATAAAGATAATAGATAAAAATTAATATAGCACAGATAAAAGAAATTAAGCTTAATGGTCATCCGTAGTGGCATACGATATCTTATTATAAGTTATCCAACTCTTCACTCATTGTCCAATTGAAATATGCACTAGCACAGTAAAAATCTAGCTTTTTTGAGCAATTTTCATGATTTTTATTCAAATATTAGGAAATAGGTTACTGTTGGATATTTAAATTATCTTAACGGTTTACATTAATACATTTAATGACGAAGTATCCAAAAGTATTTCTACAGCAAAAAAGCAAGCAGATTTCATTAATTAGACCTTCAAAGTCAATGTCATTGTTGAGTGAAGTCATATATTTAATTTAGTCTCTACTTAAAGGTATTGTTCATTGGATTGTTGCATCTTACAATGAAGACAATCAATTTATGAATTACAAAGTTATAGGAAATTATAAAGGAGTCAAGCAAAATTCAAACATTTCATGTCAATTTTATTTATGATTCAAAGTCAAGTTAAGTCTTTTGTACTTAAAGACCTTGCTCAAAGAGTTATAGTGAGTAGATAATCCATTAAGAAATAAAAGGTACCGGCAATGTCCAATGTTAAGCTTTTGGTCGACAAAGGCAATGAGAACAGACAACATGACTGTAGCAACACTTCGAATATTTCTTTCGAAAGAGTCGAGCTAAAAATCATTACCATGGTGTTAAGCATGTCTCTGCCTAAAGAGGACAGGGTCACATAATTGACATGCACTTAGATCTATATATCAATATAATAGGTCTTAAACATCGTTTCTTCCACAAACGAGTGGTTGGCTAAATAAAAGTAGAATTATCACTCTATTATACAAATAATGAACATAAAGTTAATTTATATTTGAGAGAAATTACATTATTAATGAAAAATATTTTATGAAAACATAAAAATATTTGTGACCATGGCATTCTGATTTAAGTTTTCGAAAATTTAATTGTGTGCTTTTTGAAGTTGAAATACAGGTATAATATTGTTTGAGGATTTCTGCTTTTTACTATTTTAAAACAAAGATTATTGTTGTTTACAGTCAGTTAATATATGTACAAATTTATCTCTAACATATACAAGTATCTCTTGTAATATTACGTTCTCTTGTGACAAGGGTATATGGGTATATTAACTTGGCATGTATCAATATAGATCTTAACAAAAGTAGATGAAATAATCATGCACTTATGGCCTTGGGGTCAAGTAGTATCAAATTGATTATTGAAATAAAAACATGATCCGGACCCAGACAAGTGAAATGAATGGATTTCTTCTTTTATTCAAAAATTATTTAAATATTTTTTTTAAAAATTATTACATGTACTTAAAACCGAACTGCATTCGGGCCTTTACTGTCCCGCCGATGCAATGTTCTTGCTAATATTTAAACGTAAACAAGAAAGAAAATGAGTTTATATACATTTCACATTATTTTGAAAATAGAAGTGAACGTTTTCTTTGCCTTGCTGATCTCTGTCCTCTGTTCTCATTTTTTTTAAACAAACTAACAAATAATTAGTGAAAATGTTATATGTAAACAAACAAGTGGCAGATATTTTAACTTTACCGTTTTGGCACCCAGCAATCTTGTTCATAAGATACGATTTTCCTGTCCTATAAAGTCCAGTTATGGCCACAACACTAAGTGGAACATCAATCAGTTCAATTTCGTTGACTATACTTTCATTTACTTCTAAAACGCCCTTGTCATTAATCGTTATTAGACACTGTGGTTCATTAAAAACAGACAGTGTTTTGAATCTGAAATTAGATAAAAACATCCTTTTCCCATTGTCATACAACATAAACAATATAGAAATACTGTGCTTATCTTTGAATAAGACAATTTAATCACAGAAATTTATCCAAATCTATGAAATTCTTACGGAGTTTATCTAATTTAAAGGGATACACAGGCAAAATAATGACAAAAATACAAAAATGATCTTCTGTACTCAAATCACCCTAAAATGACTTTTCTTAAAGTCCCACCATAAATTTCTGTATAGATTCTATATATTTTGGGTTTGAACCTTAGATATATTTATATATGTTGAACGAAATTTGGTTGCCAGCAGAATCACCGAATAGTTTAAAAACAAGTCGTGTGTTTTGAACAAACCCTGGAAGTTACTATAACAGGTATTGAAGATATTGTATGATTAAAACAAGTCTAAGTAATTGATTTGACATGTTCTTTAACGTTTCCAGAGTACACAGTGACAACTATTTTGAAATCATTAAGCGCTCTAACCTGACCCACGCGGGTCAAGTTAGGAAAACACCATTTATTCTTTATATGGAGAAAAGTTTTGTTCTTTTGACTGTTTAGTGTATTCATTTTGATGACATTTACAGAATAATGAATAAAAAATTAAAAACTAAAAAATTAAAATTTTGCCTGTGTCTCCCTTTAAAGGATAAGGATGAATAAACTATGAATGGGAATCTGCGTTTCCTATTTCAAATCAAGTAAAGTTGCTTTTTTTCTTTAAAAAATGCCAGTTGTTTGTTTAATGACACTATATATTCGAAATGTGACCACTAACAGTATGTATAATTTTAAACATAACATACCTCCTTTGTGTGAAGTCAAACATGCTTATTTTAAATTTAAAAAGAGACTGTTATTAATATGTTATTAATATGTTCTAATCCCAAATTTGATCTTAGTAAATCTTTAACCGATCGCATCAAAATTTCAAAAATAGTTCTGAAAATAAAGTTTGTTTATATTTTTTATTTGAGTACTATTAAGTGTTATAACCTTTTTACTTTTATAAATCACATAATTAGTATCATAGATGAAGACAGCAACATTTTATTCGCTTCCAAACACCGTAATGTTATTTCTTAAAAAAAACTCGGAAATGTATTGGAGTCACATTCATCTTGGCTTGTATATGATAAATGTCATTACATCAAGGAAAGACTGAGTGTTTTGTCGTTGGTTTCAAACGAAATACTTAACAAGTAAAAGAATTTGGAATTGTTTAATGACATTTGTTTTGAATCCACACAATCTCCTAATCACGTAAGTTTAGATTTTGATAATATTTTGTCCGAAAATACTTTTGAAAATGACATTCTTTGAAAGGTAAAAATTTATGCCTAAAAATTATGTTAACACATGTTAGGTTTTGAGATTGGAAGACTAGAAAATATTTATGTTTATCACGGAACATTGCAACTTAGATTATTTATGTATTTTTGGTATTCGAGTCTGAACAAAAATTAAAAAAAACCTTCAAATTTGTCAAACTTAAATTGTAATATTTATTCATAACATGGGACCAAGTGAAAGTGTAAATACAGTTACTGATAATAATTTGTCTTTGTTATAAGTTCAAAACAGAAATAAATCATCTTAATCTTAACCACGTATTTGAAATTATAAATAACAAGTGCCTTCAAACATGAAAGAAACCTATGTACCCGTTAAAGACAAACATACTTTATCAACTCGTCAAATTAGCACACTTTTAGAGTGGAATAGATAATGTAACCTTAAGTGCAATTAATTAATGACTGGAAATCCTTGTCTACAGACATTAAATAAAGAAATAAAAACTGGACATTTTAAAACCTCTGTAAAAGCCGACTTACTACAAAAAGCTAGGAAAAGAAGATAATTACATTAGTATAATTAGATTATTTATGGTCTTTTTCTCTATAATTAAACTCATGTAAAGAAAATAAAAATGAATTAATACCTGTAATTAAGAAATAATATATCCTAAACAGTGATTTTATCGCTCAATAACATCACTGTTTGGAGTTCGGATGCGAGGAATTATATCACGAGGGCGTAGCCCGAGTGATATAATGATGCGCATCCGAACGACAAACAGTGATGTTATCAAGCGATAAAATCACTGATTTGGATATATTATTTCGATTCTAACACGACATTTACAAATAAATGTTGAGGTACTTGATAGTTAAGCAAAATTGCGCCTGATTTGTTTCCGAAACTTATTTTCAGCGCGTTGGATTTTTAGTGGTTACGTCACGTGTAAAATGATTACGTCACATGTCTAAATATATAACGTCAAACTGTGCATCTGTTGCAAAATAACACACATTTTTTGTTCTTCTATGTTCAATAGGGAAAAATGCGGGTCGTGTTAGAATATATATTTTAATATACTTTATGTCTTTGAACAATTTGCAAACATCATTTTATTAGTTTCAATGTACTTATGTTTGTTTGATAAATAATGAATATTGTATGTTCTAGTAAGTATTTGTCCAAAGACCCCATTGGTTATATTAAGTTATATTTTTAAATGAACATCCTCCTGTGATACAGATATTTGTGACTACCAAAGTACTTTTAGACAAACCACACAAAATTTATTTACTTTGATGTAAAGTTTTTATTGTGTATATGTTTAATTTAACTTGAAACAAAAATTCATTCAAGAAACGCTTTAGTCGGAAACACTAGTTGAATTTCTTATGTTGTGCAATATGATATGCTCTCACATTATCTCTAGTATCAGTGTATACCATTTTGATAAAATGCTTTGACATGTAAACAAACAAAAAACGTATTTATTTTCAATGGTGTTCTGGTGATAACTGACTACCGGCTGTTCAGACGATAGTATATGATCAAATAAGACACTTAAATAAATAAATGTTATTGTATATGTTCGTCATAATATGAGACATTATTAGAATATGTGCCTTTAGTGGCCCTTATTTTAAAATTTACATCTCAACGTTTCGGCTCACAGAGAAACTGTATACCTTTCTCTTCGTTGTAACCATGGAAAATGCACAAAATCCGCTTCTTTTTCATCTTCAGCAATATCTTTGCTGCTACTTTGAGTGTTTTCGTCTGCCACCTCATATCCTGAACCGTGCTTTCGCTGATAAGTAACAATAGGCGTTATGAATTAGGGTAATTATAAGTGAATTCTTAAATAATACACCGACACCATTTGTTTTGCAAATTTAGATAAGCGGAATTACATTTTAATTGAAAATTACTAATAAGTACCGTTCAAAACAGTCTTGTTAATAAGATGATATTTTTGTACCAGATTATGATTTATCTATTTCAAAAGTTTAAAAGTATTCGTAGCTTCTTTTTCTTCTTTCTTCGCTTTTTATTTGTGTTCATTTACTCTGTTTATGATGGAATATACAGTTGTCTTAAGATGGCCGAATGGCAAACGCCATTGACTTCAAACCCGATTTCGGACTCGTGTATATGAGAAAGCTACCCAGCTTGCGCACGGAACTTAGTTAGTTCTACTTAGGTGCTCGTTTGTGTTTGAAATAAAGCTTAGAGAGGCACCCGAAGTCTTCCTTCGCCAATAAAGCCGGGAAATCGCCCTATGACATATACGTCGGTGTGACGTAAACCTAAATTAAATTAAGGAAGTCAAGGTACAAGGCTTGCATGTGTGCATATACATCTAGAATATGTATAACAATAATAACCTAGTTTTGTAATGGTTGTGGATAATTGTATATTTTTCTTGTTAAGCACTGTGCTATGCCTTTCCTTTCTTGAAATGTAAAAAAAAATCAAATTATTGTGTTTTTTTTTTTCAAACATAAAATCTATTTCACATGTCAGAATAATAAACATAACCTCTGCTGGAGACTGGACTATTTAAACTCGTTATTTCAGTTGCTTCGTCAGACACCATTTAAATTTTGCAAACTGTATATTATATAACTTATATTTGGTTCCAGAAAACGTGAAAAAGATATTGTAAGAGCAGTGACAAAAATAAAATTCATATCAAGAAAAGAATATATATATATAACAAAACGTTGAATTAATTTAAGTTTACATGTTTACAATGTGCATTTATTTTGTTGAATTAATTACTTACAGTCTGGGATTGCCATATTGGATATGCGAATTTTCCACCAACTTGATCGCCTTCCTTGTATTCTGCCATCTACAATATTTGCTGAAGCTAGTAATTTTTACAATTATACATATAGACATTAATGTAAATATACAAAAGGGTTGGGTCAAAAGTTATAACAACATTATCGGGGGCCCTCCCCAGAAAAACTGACTGCAATGTTATTTAAAAATAGATGTGAAAAAGACATATGTAAAGTATGATTTATAAAATTGAAATATAAGAAAAAAGTAATCAGAGAAAAAAAGTAAATAAATACATTTTCTGATATTTTGAAAATCACGCCGCCTACTCCTTACAACAGTTTTACTTTGAAGTTTGCAGTTGACAATATTCTAACTAATTTGTATAGAATCATAATAACACATTATAAAAGAAATTCAAATGTTGTACAGCTATCTTAACCTTTACGTTTCTTTTACGATGAAATAAAAGCATGTTTTGAGGATAATTTAAAATATTTATACCGAAAAGTAATTTTTTGGCATTGACATAAAAAATGTTCAGCGTCCTCTATTAAAACACCGCATTCACATGCTGGGCTTTGTTCAATTAAACAGTTATAAATATGATATTAGTATTTTTGGATGGCATAAGGTGATAATACAAAATGTTAAGTGAAAAGGTACACTTGATTTAACAATAACTCCCATTGGTTTGTGGGGAATTAAAATTACAAAAAAGTGAGGGGGAATAATTGTAAATTAGTTAAAATTATAAATGTTAATTTAATCTAAGCCTATGCATGTACAAGAAAAGCATTGATCCAAAGTATCAAAGGCGTCGCCAAAATATATTTGATAAAAAATTGCACCTTAATATTTAACAGAATATGTGTACTTTATATCAGTACCATTACTTGTGACCTAGAGGCTAGGACCCTGTTTAAGTTGACACTTGGACCCAAAAGAATAGACTATGGCTTGGCAAAAATGCAAAGACAGTTTATATTAAAGCCAATTTACCAATCATTTATAGGACTCAACAGATAAGACAGAGTTCCTTTAGATTTATTTTACCAGATACAAGGATACCTGAGTCATAAATAAAAACTTATTGCTTAGGGTTGCAGACATGTCATTGACAAATATAAGACATAAAAAAGACCTAAAATAGGTACTCGGAGCAGAAGTTGAATCAGTACCAGCCACATTCACCAGCTGCTGTCAATCAGAAATAAGACTTCAACCATATAAGAATGTTCATGTGCAGCATAGTGTGATCAACTGTATCTAATGCGTTTTGTAGATATAAAAGTATCATGCATACAAAAATGCCTTTGTCCATTTCAAATTTAATACAATCTGTTAAATGAATCAAACATATGTCAGTTAAAAAACCACTTCTAAACCCTGACTGAAACTGCCTCACCATGACTTGAACCCATGACTGTCAGAAGATAAACTGATCTATCCGGCCGGCAATGCACAATCTCTTTAATAATTAACAGTTCTAAACTATAACATATTTCTCCACTTTTTGATATTTGTTCTCCAATATCTGATGTTTACAGAGCATAGTGAATTTATGCAGTCACAGGATGAGAAAACCGTGCAGCTTGACCAAAGCTCGAACCTGTGAGCCACAGAATAATGTACCGCGGCTATAGCGATTGAGCTATATGGCCGCTTACACAATTTCTCCTCTAAATAGTTAACAGTTGTTCTAAACTGTGACAGTTACTTTTAGATATTAAGTAAACAGGCATATTAATTCTAAGAAAAAGAAAAAACTTAAATACTCGTAGTCTTAATTAAAATAACACTTTCTATATTGTATGTCTATTTTTACTAGAAAATGGCTTAGACAGTTATTAATTGTGCCATTATTTATATCAGATCAATTTAAAAGTGAACATAACTGTACGAATACATGTACAATATCTATTTCTTTTTACAGATAAAAAAACTGATAAGAAATTTTATGGAGGCTGATTTGTGCCATGTTATATTTTGCATCAGGATGCACCGGGTGAAAACATGAAAATACAACAAACAAACCTCTTTGTAGTATTTTCATGTTTTCATCTGGTGCCAAGTAACTTTTTGCAATTGTATTTTGTCGGTTTTTCTGTGGCAAAAATCACCTATATAAAATTTAGTGCATAAATTTATTTAAGTGCAAGGAACAATCTACTCAATGAAACGTCTGGAGCTGTCCTTTTCAAATGTTAGAAAAAGTAAAAATAACAATTCAGACTTTATATCCTCAGATCCCCTTTCAAAATTCCATTTCATTTAGTTCCGCCTATTGGAATTTCGAAAGGGGATCTGAGTTTATGAAACCTGCATATCACAGATATGACGTCAAAAGAAAAAAATAAAAAGCAGGCCACATATCCTAAGGGTGATTCAACATTATTTAAGTTAAGAATAATGGAACCACCCAAAAAGGAAGATGCCGAATAGAAAGAACTAAAATAGCACAACAAATATGTCGTGCTGAACTATCTTTAAGGATCGGAAACATAACATCCCTGATTGAATGAACGGGGCGACTTTTAAGGCCTCCACACGGCACAAACAACGCTGATGTGGCGATAAATTAGAGAAATAAGAATCCCTAAAGAAAGCTCAACACGGCAAAATTGAAAATGTTGCAGGCTCGGATTGACTGAGTCTGAAGACTTATTTAACCTCAATTCTGGATAGGTCATTATGCTACCTTTCAAATCTCACAAATTAAGAAAATAAACCACAACATCCAGACTAAGTCACCCTTTACAGTATTCCTTTAACTATATTAAAGATACTTTTATTAGCCAGCTTACACTGGGTATAAACCTGTAACCTGTATACTTATCAATACATGTATTATCCTTTATAACTTTAAAGTCTCATCCGTTTAATAATAATGTCATAACTGTAGCTCTTTAAATACAGAAATATTAGAAGTACAAATATTGCTGCAATGCAGCAATTAAGAGGCTCTGCGCAAAAAATGCAGCTAATTACAGATACTTTACCAAATCATTTCTGCGCACAGGGTATTTTCTATTTAGATTATGTACTATTGTACATTTTCCGGATGTTTTGAAAATCATTTATATTTGAATTTCTATTTGAATTTTTATACTAATCGTATGCGAGGAGCCAGGTATTAAATTAAAAACATATGCTGCACTGATGCCTACCTGGTAAGGAAAGTAATTTCAATACAAACAAGACATGTAAATGTAATATGACATGACAGTAGTGCAACATCGTTCTGTTTGTGTCACTATATTCAAAAATAGATGAGATAAAAATATCAAAGCATGTACATTTTCTTTTACCTATAATGCTACTCATTTTCTACAAATAACAACAACTAATCATGGTAAGAAATAATAAATCCATATGTAAATAAGCCAAAACAAAAACCTTCATCGACTTATTTTTCAAAAAGTGTACATGTTTCGCAGCAAATGGTATGTCATGTTATTTCAAGAGAAGGCATTAATTGATGCAAAGCATCAAAGGGCGTCCAGCAAGTGACGATGAACAAGTATACATCTGATTACCAGATATTCGTATAAAGTTTTCAATGGTTTATTGGATTTTACCAGAATTGTAAATGTATGTACATCATATGTATATCATAGATGAAAGGGCGGACGAAAGACATTATTTATCATGAACTTTGGTAGGCTTGCTAGAGATAAAAATATTAAATGTATTTTGACTGGAATATTCAAAACAGTAGTCAAAATGAACTAAGTATGTTTCTTATTATTATAATTGTAACAAATATACAAACAGTATATAACAAAGTAACGAAAGGGATTAAAATAGTAATATTACATGCATTTTTTCATGTCAAATTAAGAAAAATGGTTTCTTTTGATATCTTGGACATATATTACAGTATCCATATTTTGAGTCACAGATAAATACTTAAAGCAGAACATACACTGGAATGAAAAATGTGGGATTAATTTCAGAAAAACCAAATTCAGGATTTGTTTTGTTATACAAAAATAATGGTACATTAAAAATCATGAATAAATCTGCTAATGTTGATAAAGTAAAACATTATTTATCAATGGGAGACCTCAGTTTTAGACAGGTATAACGAAATTCACAAACATGTTCATGCGAGTCAAAGATATAAAAGCTACTTGATATTGGTTATAAATAAAGAGTAATTGTTAATTGATTTATTTGGAGATCATTCTACTATTTTGTTGATTGATTCAAAATCCTCATCTGACCAACCAGTGTGTTTACATTCTTATCAATAAACTTCAGACGAAAGTTTCTGTTGTTAAAATTGCCACAGTATTGGACATTCCACTCAAACCACTTTAAAACCGATTGCGTTCCAATTTCCTACAGCAGAAATTCGGGAAATCAGGGTCAATTAAAATATTCAGAAGTACAACCAGGGCCGTAAAGTAGCTATTAATTTACCTGAAAGAACCTACGGAAAAGACAGTTCCAAATAAGAATACAATGATATAAAAATATAACAAAAATGGCCTTCTTCATTTTTGTCGATAAATTTATAAAGAGTGCAATATATGGTTGAAAATGTTTGCATTACATTTTCTGCAAAACTCTATAAATTGATTTTATGACTTTCACAATGTTAAGGTCTATTTATAACTTTCGAATATATGTACAGCAATAAATACATACATAACCTACTGTGTATTACAAAATATAAGTAATTTCCTGTAGAAGATACAAATGTAAGAAATAAATTACCGAATTTAAGTTTATGTTTTGTTTTTTCTTTCATACTGCTTTTATACGGGAAATTTGTTCCCGTTCTCATTCATTAATGTTTCATATATAATTGTACATTAAATATATTTTGTTTCATAGTTGATTCTGCATTAAATATATATTGCATGCAGTACCTTTAAACTTGATTATTAGGCTCCGCCTACTTAATGTACTGACCAATTGACATTATATTGTCAGTCTTAGAAATAAACTCATAGTATCAACATCTCGTATTCTCTTAATCCACAGCAAATAAACAAACATAAATCATGGTGTCAGCATAAAAAAATTTAATTATTTATTAAAATAATTAAAATAACAGAAATTAAATATATTTTG